CCCCCCCCCCCCCCCCCCCCGCAGCAGCTCCCCCCCCTCTGCAGCTAACCCTGCCCGGGGACCCCGTCCCGCGGAAGCTAACCCTGCCCAGGGAGCCTGCCCCAGCTCACCTCCGCTCTGCCTCCTCCGCTGAGCACGCCGGTGCTGCTCTAATTCTCCTTCCCTCCTAGGCTTGCGGCACCGATTTGGAGAATTAGAGTGGGGGCTGTGTGCTCAGCGGAGGAGGCAGAGTGGAGGTGATCTGGGGCAAGGAGCGGGTCCCCTGTGCGCCCCATGCCGCCTTGGGAAGAGCAGCAGGGCTTCAGTCGCCATCAGCCACTGTGCTGTTAACACACACTTTATATGGCCCCCTGGCTAAAGAAAACTCAGACAGTCTCACATAACAAACCCTGCTGAGCAGCGAGCCCATGGGCTGATGGCCCTAGGAAATGTCACTGCCATCCAGGGCAGGAGCCTGGCACTGCTACGCCATGCTGTGCAGCCTCAGATGTCAGGCAGGCACTGAGATGGCCCAGAGTACAGCATGTATGAGGGCAAATATTTCACAGATGCACAAAGGAAATTCAGCAGGGGAATAAACTCCGCTACCTGATTTCTGGACCCCCTCATTCATTGCTGCCACTAGGGCTGTCACCCTCTGTGTAGTATCAAGCAGAAAGCAGGAACAGTTTTCCTGTCCCCAGCTGCTAAGTCCCCATCTCGCTTCCCCCTTTATAGCCCTGCTTTAAAACCCAGCCCCCAACTACCACGCACCCAAGCTGGGGCTTGGCTGGCTGGCTTAGCACTTCCTGGTGGCAGGGACCATGCCTCGCTTGGGATAAATGCATGCTGCTAGGGAAGTGGGTTTGAGCGGTTAGTGTCATTCATTTAATGACAGATTTTTCTCCATAATTGGGGTGTCTCGTTGCTACTAGGGCATCAAATTAACCCTTTCTCCCCTTCTCTCTGCTTAGCCTGCAAGAAGCTGCCCCACTCCTGCACTCGGCTGTACTCAGAAACCAAGTCATTTCCTGTCTGGGAAGGGGGCATCTGCCATTACCTGTGAGTATAGCGCGCCTCTTGCCCTTCCCCCTTCCTGTTTACACTGGGCCCCGTGGAGAGCTCGTAGGCGGTGACTGAAGGTACACTGCGCTTCAGCTGGGTTTGGAACCCCAAGGAGGAGGAATGAGGATCAGCTGCTTCCGGATGTATTTTGTCCCTGTCTCATTTCTGTTATCTTGTCTGGCCATGTCTTATGGGGGTGGGGAGCTGCAGTTTGGGGGCAGCTGTAGCAGACAAAAAACATTCCACATGCTGTCCTAGCACCTTCACTGATGTTTGGCATAGGTGTGGTTCTTCACTCGAGGGACAGCTCCAGGCTGTGCTGCAGTAGGTTGGGTTTTTATCAGGATTTTTACCAGCTAGTGTGTGATACTAGAAATGTTGGCTCTTCTGGAGCATCTAGAAAACATGACACTGTACCCACTCCTCACCTCTACCAGGCATTGGGGTGTTTGCACAAGTTGTGCTTATGCCAAGTCAACCAGTGCCTTTTCCCCTGGGAGTAGGGCAGGGAGGAGGGAGAGTGAGCTGGTTGGAGGGTGTCTGGCTGTGTCATCTTCTCCAGTTCCCCTTTCACCCTTACAAGCAGAGATTTCTCTCTCTTGCATCAGTTAGGGCCGCAGCCAGTCGGACAGTGAGTATTTCCCGTCTGCTGAACCTGTCTCAATGTGCTCTCCCGCTCCAGAACGCACTGGCACTGCTGTTTCAGGGGGTCAGTTACTCAAATGTTTCTGGGCTCTAGTTTGACACCCTTGGTCCATTGTCTGTTTGGCTCCCATGATCTATCTGAAGTGCTATGGGAGAGGCTGGCCATTAAGCGTGCAATAGCAGAGCTGTGTTTGAGTTGAACGGAGCTGTGGTGCTTAATTTCTTTAAGCATTTCCATCTATGTAAGGCATTGTTAATCCCTCTCCTCCTCACAGAATAGAGAAATAAAGTAGCTGACAGTGCAGTCATATTTTAAAGCAGGGTAATAACCGGTGGGTCTTTAATGGCAGCCAGTCACAGCACTGAGCTCTTACCCACCAGACCCTAGACTCCAGGCTACGTTTGTTAACCGTGTTATCCTCCGTACCAGCCACCTCTTAGCTATGCGCCAGACCCAGGCACCATTTCTGGAAGGGTCTCGTCTCACTCCCCAAATTGTGCTGCCCTATTACCAGCCAGAAAACTGGCTCCCTCCCCCACTCTAAGAGTAGCTGGGATTCCACTAAGGATTAGGAGTCCATTCTGAACCTGGCCAATAGACCCTGCAGCTGGTGGTCGAGTGGCCAGTGCTCTCCCCTCACTGGGCTGGTGGTGAGCTTAATCAACATTGGACGTGACACCAGTCTTTTGATCAGGATTGACCAAACCCCACTGCACAAGCGGACACAGTGATCCAGTGCTTGCGGCCAGGCAGGCCTCTACCCTTTTCACTGTCTGTCTACAGCAAATTGTTCTGCTGTGTCCTCTTTGTGCTAACAGATACAAGAGGGTCTACAAAGTCCACCAGGACATCTGCTACAAGGAGAGCTGTGAGAGCACTGCTTCAAAGAAGACAGGCAGCAGGTAGGATCGGTTGATGGCTACTGCAATGGCTTTGCAACTCTGCAATATATAGACACATGGGAAACCAGGGCTCACATTTTCAATAGAGACTAGTCATTATTGGTGCCCAGTCTGAGACACCGTTACAGGGGGCTGATTTTCAGAAAATGCTGAGTGCCTACCTTTTAGAAACCAACCCCTTTAAAGCAGTTCAGCCTGGGCCCCCAAAATCAATCACAGCTGAAAACTTAGGCCTAGATGCCTGAAGCTGTAGCAAGGGCTGGTACCCTGAAATTGTTTGCATGAGGGGCTGGTTAGGATCAGTATGTGTGTGCTGTCGCGCCTCCTCAGAGCATGAAAATACAGAGCTGAGTCCTAGGCTGTCTGGATGTTAGTCACTTTGGAGATGACATTTGTGGGTGTCTGCCATTGTGAGCAGCATTAGTCCTTTAGAAATGATGAGTTGGGTTTATGGGATAACTTTCAGAGTCATGAACTCTGGGAATCCCATTAATACAGGGACTGAACTGCTGAACTGCATCTCACTTCTATGGAAACGTACCTGTTAGTGTGAACAAAAAGAAAAAGGTCAGCTGTCTTGTATACCAAGACCTCTCTCTTTCCTTCTTCCAGAAAACAAAGTAACAGTCACGCACTGAAGAAGCCATAGAGTAAGTGATCTTTCTCCCTGAGAGGCTTTTAGAAGGTAGAAGGTTGCTGCACTGAGGAGTCTGCCATCATGCATAGCACCTACCAAGGCCAGATGGTTTCACAACGGGGTGGGGTGTGAGACGATCATTCTCCAGGGTTAAAAGGGCAGTCAGGCAGCCTCCTCCCTGGAGATTTATAAGAAGCACAGCTGCTAGCGCCTTGCCCCAGTCTTTAACCACAGTGAGCATGTCCAAAACCCACGACATGCTGCTCATTGGTACCTGCGATGAACCCCCAAACTACTCCCATGCAGAAATGGCACATGGGCAAGACCACCTCGGCCAAAGACGGCAGAAAGCTGAAATCCATTGCTAGAATAATGTGGAGAGCCCCGGACTGAACAAATAGTGCCCTGGCTCCCTGGAACTGAGGGGGCCCTTGAGTCATCAACAAGCTGGTATTTGCTATGGATTCTGGCCCCACTGATTTTCTGTGTTGATTTCCTTCCCCCACTGCAACACCAGGATCAGCCTCTCACAGACAAACATTTTCTTGCTAGCTTCAGATAAGAGTTAAGCCCTTGGTTTCAAGACCTTAAACTTCACTTGTGTGTGTCTGTGCAAGGCTAATGTAAAGGCATAGCTTGGGGTCAGGTAAGCCAACCTAGACTAGACGGATGGCTTTGAGAGCTCTGAGAAGGGGAATGCTGACCATTGTGCTTAAGCTGATTAAATATTGCAACAGATACCATCCAAATATTATAAGCATGCAGTGCCTATGAGGAAGAGTGTGCACTTACTTTATTTGGAGTAGATGCAAAGTTTGACCCCTCAGTTCATCTTTATTTACTGTAGTTGAGTGCTGCAAGGTCTTTGCTTCCTATTATCCGGGTGCTTTTGTCCTCCTTTTAAGCGAATGCTTGCTGTGCTGTCGAAAGTTAATCTAACACCTTTTACAAATCTGCCATCAGTTGTTGGGGACTATCCTCTAATGGGCCCAACTCCCACAGACCCATCCCTGGCTTCTGACAAAATCTGCCATGCCATGGGTGCAGCAGCCACCATCACCCCACAACTCCAGCTCTGCAGTTGACTGATGAAGCCTTTTAGGTGGGAATGGGCAGCCTGGAGATGCAGTGATCCAGTTTCTGTTGGCAGGACTCCTATAGAGCCCCTACTCTTATCTGTCTATCTACCCTCCCTTAGGAGAATGCCCAGGCCAAGGCAGTAGTACATTATTGTTGTATTTGTATTATGGGAATACAGATCCCTAAATGGCCTGTTGTTTGTGATGTTAGAATTAGCCAGACTAAGAGAGAGTTCCTGCCTTGCAGAGCTGCATATTAGTGAAATGAACAATTCAGACAAAGGGTGGGAGGGAAAGTGACTGCCCCAGGTAGAGATCAAGGAAGTCTGAAATATCGACAGCCATTACGTGCTTCTCAAAACTAAACTTCCTTTACTTCTTTCAGAATGAGAAATGTATTATGTGTACTTCAGTTAGCCCATAAACAAATGCTGGTTGGAGAAGTATACATTCTTTAGCTTTGATATGAATAATAACAACAAATTTACCTAGTGCGAGGGAGGGAGCTGCAGATGCACCCTAAGGTACTCATGTATTTTTTCCAAAATCTCTTTCTTGAGTGGGGTCTGAATTAGGTGTTACCACTCAAAAAAGAGATCTTGGAGTGACTGTGGATAGTTCTCTGAAAACATCCACGTAATGTGCAGCGGCAGTCAAAAAAGCAAACAATGTTGGGAATCATTAGGAAAGGGATTGATAAGAAGACAGAAAATATCATATTGTCTCTATATAAATCCATAGTACACTCACAGCTTGAATACTGCATACGTCCCATCTCAAAAAAAGATATATTGGAATTGGAAAATGATTAGGAGTATGGAACAGCTTCTGCAAGAGGAGAGATTAATAAGATTGGGACTTTTCAGCTTGGAAAAGAGACAGATAAGGGGGGAATATGATAGAGGTCTATAAAATCATGACTGGTGTGGAGAAAGTAAATAAGGAAGTGTTATTTACTCCTCCTCATAACACAAGAACTAGGGGTCACTAAATGAAATTAATACACAGCAGGTTTAAAACAAACAAAGGAAGTATTTTTTCACACAACGTACAGTCAACCTGTGGAACTTCTTACCAGAGGATGTTGTGAAGGCCAAGACTATAACAGGGTTCAAAAAAAGAACTAGATAAGTTCATGGAGGATAGGTCCATCAATGGCTATGAGCCAGGATGGACATAGATGTTGTGGATTGGGGGGGGAGGGCTAGCTCAGCGGTTTGAGCATTGGGCTGCTAAACCCAGGGTTGTGAGTTCAATCCTTGAGGGGGCCATTTAGGGATCTGGGGCAAAAGTCTGTCCGGGGACTGGTCCTGCTTTGAGCAGGGGTGGGACTAGATGACCTCCTGAGGTCCCTTCCAACCCTGATATTCTATGATTCTATGGTTGTCACTAGCCTCTGTTTGCCAAAAGCTGGGAATGGACAACAGGGGATGGATCACTTGCTGATTCCCTGTTCTGTTCATTCCCTCTGGGGCACCTGGCATTGGCCACTGTCAGAATACTGGGCTAGATGGACCTTTGGCCTGACCCAGTATGGCCATTCTTATGTTCCCTACTGGGTGACATATAGGGGGGGAAATGTAAAATGTGAAAGACAGCTGTAAACAAAAGGGAAGGTATGTAAATAGACCTGACCTGCCACACACAGCTATAGAAGAAACTCATGTTTCTAGAGAAAAAGCTCAGGAAATGAATGTCTCTAAGACGTAATTAACGGAGCATAATAATAAGGACCACCAATATATACCCAAACTTTATGGTAACACCACCACTAGACTCTTTAATAATGGAGTGTCATCATAAACACTTTGACAGGCTGGATCACAGAAACCCCCTTAGGGCTGCCAACTGATGTGCCACGACTACTTCTGTTCCTGCTTTCCTGCCCTGGCAGCTTGGGACTTCAGTGCCCTGCCTGGTTTGAGCCAGACCCGCTAGCCTGCTGCAAACCCAGACCCAGGTCTGAACCACGTCCCCTAACAGATATAGGCTTAATTGAAAGCAGCTTAGGAAGTGTTCCTGTCTTTAACACTCAGATGCCCAACTCCCAATAAAGTCCAAACCCCAAATAAATCCGCTTTACCCTGTTTAAAGCTTATACAGGGTAAACTCATAAATTGTTCATCCTCTATACCACTGATAGAGAGATATGCACAGCTGTTCCCCCTCTCCCCCAAGGTATCAATACATACTCTGGGTTAATTAATAAGTAAAAAGTGATTTTATTAAATACGAAAAATAGGATTTAAGTGGTTCCAAGTAGTAACAGACAGAACAAAGTGAATTACCAAACAAAATAAAATAGAACACGCAAGTCTATGCCTAATACAGTAAGAAAACTGAATACAGCTAAAACCTCACCCTCAAAGGTGTTCCAGTAAACTTCCTTTTACAGACTAGTCTCATTCTAGTCTGGGTCCAGCAATCACTCACACCCCCTGTAGTTACTGTCTTTTGTTCCAGTTTCTTTCTGGTATCCTTGGAGGTGGAGAGGCTCTCTCTTGAGCCAGCTGAAGACAAAATGAGGGGGTGTCCCAGAGGTTTAAATAGACTTTCTCTTGTGGGTGGACACCCCTCTCTCCCCCTGTGTAGAATCCAGCTATAAAATGGAGTTTTGGAGTCACATGGGCAAGTCACATGTCCATGCATGACTGAGTTCCTTACCAGCCAAGCCACATTCCTGGGAAAGCTCACATGTGGATTGGCATCTCCAAGTTCATTGTTGGCTTAAGTGGTTCTTGACTGGGCACTTACTGAGAATAGTCTTTTCTCAGGAAGCTGACCAACTGCTTCACTGAGACTATTTAAAATTAAACAAGTACATAGCCAATATTCATAACTTCGAATACAAAAATGATACATGCATACAAATAGGAGGAATGTATTCAGTAGATCATAACCTTTACAGAGATATGTTACATGGCATGTGTAGCATAAAACATATTCCAGTTATGTCATATATACATTCATAAGCATATTCCCATAAAGCATTATGGGTTGCATCACATACACAGTAAATTTCATAAATACACCTCTACTCCGATATAACACAACCCGATATAACACGAATTCAGATATAACGCGGTAAACCAGCGCTCCGGGGGGGCGGGGCTGCGCACTCCGGTGGATCAAAGCAAGTTTGATATAACACAGTTTCACCTATAACGCGGTAAGATTTTTTGGCTCCCGAGGACAGCGTTATATCGAGGCAGAGGTGTACTGTATAGACAAAACTAGCCATCCTGTGAACCACTATAATATCACATAAACAGTTACTAGTGTAGCCTTGGATATGCTAGCATAGCTCAAGTTTTTCCTTTTTTTCCTTCCTCTTTCCCTGTTAATTCTGAGAGAAAATATGTCATACAAGTTTCTTCACAATTCTTCAAAAAATTTCAAATGTTTCCATTCCAGGTCTTGAAGGGGCGTCTAAAAGTTTCCACTTGTTTTCCAAGCCCTCCCGCAAGTCAGCAGCGGAGCTGGGAATTGATCCCAGTCTTCAAGACCTGTCCCTATGGCCTTTCCACTCCCTACCCATGCCTCCTTGTGGCAGAGCTGCCCCAGGCACAGACATTGCAGGCTGCTACACAGGGGTGAATCTCATAGACTTTGAGGCCAGACGGCACCATCATGATCATCTCTGACCTCCAAGTTTAAACCTGCAAGTGACCAGTGCCCCATGCTGCAGAGGAAGGCAAAAAAAAACCCCAGGGTCTCTGCCAATCTGACCTGGGGAGAAATTCCTTCCCAACCATAGAATTATAGTTTCATAGAAGATTAGGGTTGGAAGAGACCTCAGGAGATCATCTAGTCCTGTGGGGCCCAAAACTGGACACAGTACTCCAGATGAGGCCTCACCAATGTCGAATAGAGGGGAATGATCACGTCCCTTGATCTGCTGGCAGTGCCCCTACTTATTGCCAAGAAGGCTAATGGTATTTTGGGCTGTATAAGGGCACACTGTTGACTCATATCTAGCTTCTCGTCTACTGTAACCCCTAGGTCCTTTTCTGCAGAACTGCTGCCTAGCCATTTGGTCCCTGGTCTGTAGCAGTGCATGGGATTCTTCCGTCCTAAGTGCAGGACTATGCACTTGTCCTTGTTGAACCTCATCAGGTTTCTTTTGGCCCAATCCTCTAATTTGTCTAGGTCCCTTTTTATCCTATCCCTACCCTCCAGCATATCTACCTCTCCTCCCAGTTTAGTGTCATCTGCAAACTTCCTGAGAGTGCAGTCCATGCCATCCTCCAGATCATTAATGAAGATGTTGAACAAAACCGGCCCCAGGACCGACCCCTGGGGCACTCCGCTTGATACCGGCTGCCAACTAGACATCGAGCCGCTGATCACTACCTGTTGAGCCCAACAATCTAGCCAGCTTTCTATCCACCTTATAGGCCACTCATCCAATCCATACTTTTTTAACTTGATGGCAAGAATACGGTGGGAGACCGTATCAAAAACTTTGCTAAAGTCAAGATATATCACATCCACCACTTTCCTCATATCCACAGACACAGTTATCTCATTATAGAAGGCAATCAGGTTGGTCAGGCATAACTTGCCCTTGGTGAACACATGTTGATTGTTCCTGATCACCTTCCTCTCCGCCAAGTGCTTCAAAATGGATTCCTTGAGGACCTGCTCCATGATTTTTACAGGTTACAAAGTAGCAGCCGATTTTTACATGATTTTTACAGGGACTGAGATGAGGCTGACCCGTCTGTAGTTCCCCGTAGTTCCTTCTTCCTTTTTTAAAGATGGGCACATTATTTGCCTTTTTCCAATTGTGTGGGACCTCCCCCGATCACCATGAGTTTTCAAAGATAATGGCCAATGGCTCTGCAATCACATCAGCCAACTCCCTCAGCACCCTTGGATGCATTGCATGGACTTGTGCATGTCCAGCTTTTCTAAATAATCCTTAACCTGTTCTTTCACCACTGAGGGCTACTCACCTCCTCCCCATACTGTGCTGCCCAGTACAGCAGTCTGGGAGTTGACCTTGTCTGTGAAGACCCAGGCAAAAAAAGCATTGGAGTACTTCAGCTTTTTCCATATCATCTGTCACTAGGTTGCCTCCCCCATTCAGTAAGGATCCCATTCCCTGACTTTCTTCTTGTTGCTAACATACCTGTAGAAACCCTTCTTCTTACCCTTAACATCTCTTGCTAGCTACAACGCCAACTGCGCTTTGGCCTTCCTGATTACACCTCTGCATGCTCAAGAAATATTTTTATACTCCTCCCTACTCATCTGTCCAAGTTTCCACTTCTTGTAAGCTTCCTTTTTGTGTTTAAGCTCACAGATTTCTCTGCTAAGCCAAGCTGGTTGCCTGCCATATTTGCTATTGTTTCTGCACATTGGGATGATTTGTTCCTGCACCCTCAATAAAACTTCTTTGAAATACAGTCAGCTCTCCGGGACTCCTTTCCCCCTCATATTAGCCTCCCAGGGGATCCTGACAATCAGTTCCCTTTTCTGAATTCCAGGGTCCATATTCTGCTGCTCTCCCTTCTTCCTTTTGTCAGGATCCTGAACTCTACCATCTCATGGTCACTTCTGCCCAGGTTGCCACCCACTTCCACTTTCCCTATCAAATTCTTCCCTGTTTGTGAGCAGCAGGTGAAGAGGAGCATGGCCCCTAATTGGTTCCTCTTGCACTTGCACCAGAAGTTGTCCCCAACACTCTCCAAAAACTTCCTGGATTGTCTGTGCACTGCTGTATTGCTCTCCCAGCATATGTCAGGGTGAATGAAGTGCCCCATGAGAACCAAGGCCTGTGATCTGGAAACTTCTGTTAGTTGTCCTCAAAAAACCTCGTCTACCTCATCCTCCTGGTCTGGTGGTCTAGCAGATGCCCACCGTGACATCATTCTTGTTGCTCTCACCTCTAAACTTAACCCAAAGACTCTCAACAGGCTTTTCTCCAGTTTCATATTGGAGCTCTGAGCAGTCATACTGCTCTCTTACATACAATGCGACTCCTCCAACTGTTCTCCCCTGCCTGTCCTTCCTGAACAGTTTATACCCATCAATGACAGTGCTCCAGTCATGTGAGTTACCCCACCAAGTCTCTGTTATTCCAATCACATCATAGTTCCTTGACTGTGCCAGGACTTCCAATTCTTCCTGCTTGTTTCCCAGGCTTCTTGCGTTTGTGTACAGGCACCTAAGATAACTAGCCAACTGCCCTACTTTCTCAGTATGAATCCAGAGGCCTCCCCTGTTGCACCCTCCTCTTTGTGTTTCCTCTCCAGTATCCCACTTCCCCACTTACCTCTGGGCCTAGGTCACCACCCCCTGGCAAACCTAGTTTAAAGCCCTCCTCAATAGGTTAACAAGCCTGCCTGCGAAGATGCTCTTCCCTCTCTTCGTTAGGTGGATCCCATTTCTTCCTAGCAATCCTTCTTCCTGGAACAACATGGTTGAAGAATCCGAAGACCTCTCTCTGACACCACCTGCGTAACCATACTTTTACCTCAACAATTCGATGGTCCCTACCTGGGCCTTTTCCTTCAACAGAGAGAATATGGTTCTTTCAACCCCAAATATGGTGATCAGTTAGACCCAACAACCAGACATCAGGGAAAGAATTTTCTGTAGTAACTGAGAGCCCTCCCCATCTAATCTGCCCCATTATCTTTATTTTAAATATTACTTGTCGAACGGAGGAAGCACAAAATCAAATGCTCCACACACACACCCTTGCTTGTGTGTATGACCCTGCATCCCATAGCTTTGCCTTTCTCTGCTAGAGCAAATAAGTGTGTACTAACAAACACTAGGGGCCAGATTTACACACTTGTCACTTGCAACTAGAGAGCTAAACTCTATAAAAAGCGGCAGCCCAGAAATCTTTAAGAACCAAAGGGCCAAAACCACCACTGACTTCAGCAGGGAAAAGGGGACACACAGGAAAGTATTAATACTGTTTCCAAGCTCTTACGGGGCAAGTACAGTCCATCAGCCAAATCCCATGGGAGCAAGAGTGGGTCACTCCCTCAGACCAAAGGAAATTGAAGTTGGAGTGCTTTCAGCTGATTCTAATGTTCTCTCTCTCTTTCATAGGGTTCAAAGCACTAAGAGCTTCCATCTTACCAGATCTAAGGGCTTTCAAACACCAGGAAGATCGGATCTACAAATAGTGGGGGAGACCTTCCTACATGGAGTCACTGCCCTTCCCTCTCCTCCAGCCTGTTAGGGACACACTCAGACTGGCACACCATACAGTCACTTCCCCTCCCAGCAGCAGGCGCACCGGAGCCCTCATACGGGCTTTCCTTATTGCGGACGCCCTTCTTCCCATCACCAGACTCCATCTAGGGACGAGCAACATCACATTAGAATGGCTGACTGTCTCATACGGGGGTTAGCCTATCTTTGTAACCCAGGCCTGTTTATGCGAGTCCCTGCTCTGCCTTTACAGGGCTGACATCCAGCCCCCTCTTACCAGCATATGCACCAATCTGTTAAATTACAAATCAAGTTTAATGCAGCACTACACTCCTTAGCTATGAACTGACACCTGACCTACACAGCCCCGGCAGAGAAGTAAGATATTCCCCTGCACAGTCAAGTAAAAAAAAATCCTAACTATTTGAACTGATGAGGGTGAAAAATAAAGGAAGTAGTAGACACATTTCCCCTTCTTTTGTACCTTAAATGTTTGGTTTGTAAGAACACTATGCTGAGTAGCAGGCAATATTGGCTATTTCCTTCAAGTTATTAATGTTTTAACTGAGTTTCAGTGTGTAGCGTAGAAAAATGTCTACTGCATCTAACAATGATGAACTTTTTTCCTCAAAAAAAAAAAAGGTGAAGGCTTAGAAATGCGTTTGCTCCCATACTCATTTTTATAGCACATCAACACACTGGTCTATGAAATCATTCCAGGGCACTGTAGCTGTGTTCAGCAAAGAAAATGTTTAAAGTCCTTATCTCCAGCTGAAACAGATTGAGTAAGTGTCCAAAGCATTTGTCAGCTGTAATCCACTTCTCTGCAGCTGTATATTTTAAACCAGGCAGTACCAGGAAACTGACACACACACTGATACAGCTCTGACATCAACTGGCATCCAAGCACTAATTCCCTGTATTACAGTAGAGCTGACTGCAGTGGTGCTTAGGTATTGGCAGCAATACCACCTGGGCAGGCTCAAGGAAAGCATGTCTGGCTTTTAAGATTTCCTAGCTTTTGAGAGTTTGTATGAGTATGACACTAGTTACACATAGATTTGTGTATTACTATACACAGTGTATATTATAAATTAATACACATCAGAGATATAGTTTAGCAATGGTACTAGAGTGTTGTTTCAGGAGCAGTATATGGGTGCACCTCTAGGAGGCTGTGACTCATGGCGCAGGATACAGCAGCCTTTCCCCACCGCCTAGAGCTAATAGTCAAGGGGGTGTAAAGTGTAAATACAGTTTCTTTAGTGAAGGAAAGAATGGTTCTGAGCAGAACACAGCGCAGGCGTTAAGCAGCTCCCCTCGGCAGGCATCCTCCTTGTTCCGAGTGCCTCGCCAAACACCCCCTCTGAGCAAGAGAACGTCAGGGTGCTGAGGAACCTGGCCAGCCACAACAGCCAACTGGAAAATCAGGCTCCTTTCCAGGCAGTGGTGGTAATGCCATTACCCACAAGGGATGAGGAAAAACCAGTTCACGGATCTCTGCTGCAGTGGAATATTCCCTTTGCCTCCCAACTCCATCAGGCCACTGCCATAGAGATCAGGCACAAGAACGACTCACTTGAGAGATGCTGCCGGAAACCAAACTGGGAAGTGGACGGGTTGACAGGTAATTAGAGTGGTGGGGCGGGCCCTTAGGAAACCTTGAGTCCCAGTTATCCTGAGCTCATTTCACATGGGAAAGCTTAGAATCCCTAGTCCTTAAACGCCCTTCACGTGGCCATGGGGGAGGGGTGGCACTGCTTCTGGGACGTGGGAGGAGGTTGTCAGAGATCTGGAAAGCCCTTGTCATTACCTGGGGAGAAAAGAGAGTTGGGACCAGAACACCAGGGGTCAAATCATCCAACATTCCAAGTCAGAATGACATGCCCCTTTCCCCAGGTGTTCTGTCACCTGAGTCCAAGCTGGCGGCGGACGAGAAGGACGTGCAACCCTTCTGCGATGCTGCCTGAAAATAGGGTCACTGAATGCATCCGCAGACAATGTGGTTCAAAAGAAGCCTGCAGCTTGTTAAAATCTCTAGTTTTCATGCAAACCTATCCCTTTAACTGGAAACTAAAACAATCCTGCAAGCAGACTGTGCATGTTCCCTTTCAGTCCAGCTATGGCACCCTTTGAGCTATAGGACAGGAGAGTAGATCTCTGGCTGCAATCCCAGGAGTTGGCGCTCCCACCCGCCTCATGTTCCCCCAGCAAGACCAGCATGTTTACACGCACCGTCAGCCTGAGAGCTGCTGCCCGGAACAGATCCACGGCCCAGGAGCAGCAAGGCGGGTGCAGCAGCTTGCTCCCCTTCTGCCATACAAGGAGTCTCCACTCTTGGTATGTGTTGTAACGTAGCTACCTGAGAGCTTGCGCAGCAGCGTCCAGGTCAAACTATATGCTACAGAGACTAAGCACAGTATGTAACGCAGCAGAAAAAGATTTTATCTTGTTCAAAAAAGTTAGTTATTTTGTTTTTTAAATAAAAATACAATTGCTAGCCATTGGGTCCTTTGTTCAGTGGGTGGTGGGGAAGAAGCAGCGGGAAGGGGAGGGTCAATCCCTTTTCCCCAGCCCACAGTGTCCACATGCGCCAGAGGCATCTCCTCAACACCAGCCACACACACGCCTCACATCAAACCAGTCTCTTGCCCCCTCACCAGCCTCCTCAGCCCACAACCAACCCACTTCTCTTGAACCAGCAGTTCACCTGCTCACACAATCTGTCTCCTTTCCTGGGCCCAACCCCAAGCTCCCTCCTCCTCTCTTGATCATTCACCCCACATCCGTCTCCTCTCCTGCCTCTGAAGCTCAGTGGGCTCTTTCCTTCCGCAGCCAAAAAATCCCTCACCTTGTCCTCCTGAACTCTGATCCCAAGCTCTCCCATCGCCTCCCCTCATTACAGAGCCCAGGTGTCCCAGTCTCCAACCCCAAAATCCAGCTTCTCTCCACGACCCCACACAATCCGGCTCCTCTACTCAGGGCCATGCTAAACATTTACACTCCCTAAGGCAGCAGACAGCTCTCACATTTCTGGTTCCTAGCAGGCGCAGCCATCCCTTCCTCCCCGACAGCTATCTTTGTGGGGGAAGGTTCGGGAAGGACAGATCTGTGCTTGCACAGCATTTCCTAGCGCTGGCCCTGGCCACCATTGTTGGTGTGGCAGTGCCATTGGTGGGGTAGCCCCACCCCCATCAAAGAAGGCTGTGCTGCGAAGGGTGAGCAGGTGAGAGCTACCAATGCCCATAACTGCCCTCTGATGTGTGGCAACCAGGGCTCGTCTTCCAGCTACATCAACTTTGGGCAGCAGTCCCCAGCCTAGAGTTGCCACTTCCCCTTGCTGAGCCCATCTGGCAATCAAAGAGCAGATCCCTCTTGAGCTGGGGTGTCCCACTGCGCTTGAGTGGGGAAATCAGGCCAAGTGACAGAGAAGGGCACTCGCTTCCTGAAGGGTCTGAGCTTTATTGGTTTTACACAGCCACCTGAAACAGAGGCCTCAGCTCACTGAGGAAAACAAGGACAGAACTGCCTGTCCCCAGGCAGCAGTCAAGCCCCAGGTTGTGGCCCAGGGGACCCGTGTCCAGTGAATGTTTCTGAACTAGTGATGTCATGGCAACACCATTAAACACACAGGTCAGAAGGGAATGTCTAGGAGCAGCCAAGATGTGTGGTAACCCCAGCAGCTGGTTTCCACCAATGACTCTTTGGCCAAGAAGTCCTTACTGAAGCTTGGGGGTAAGAGTTCAGTTTCCTTCCTCGCTGTCAGACCTTTCCCCTTCCCCTTCGCTGGCTGAATCTGTCTCTTCAGACGCTATATCCTGATCCCCCTCCCCCTCCTCCCGAGCCAGCAGCTTCTTAAAGACCTCAAACTCCTCCAGGGAGGAGTGGGCTATCTTGGCCAGGAAGTCCCCTTCCGAGACTCGGATGATCTCCTTCAGTTTCGGGTTGACGATCTGGGTCTGGCCTTTCTTGTCAGGGGTTTGATAAAGCCCCAGGCGCTCTAAGAAGATGTGCCGGTTCTTGACCTCAGCTATTGGAGTTCGGAAGAGACCAGATTTCACCACTGCTTTGTGCTTTACTCCCATTCTGAAGTACACGTACTGCAGGAAAGACAAAGGGAGACAAAAATACACCCTGCAAAGTGGAAGGAACAGACACCTGTTTAGCTGATGTCAGCGCATCCCAGGAAATACACTGGGTTGGAGCTAAGGGGCTATAAACATTGTACCTCACTTTTCCTATAGACGTACATAGGTAACTAGCCGCAGAGAAAGCTGAATTGAGGACTTCTAATGCACCTACTGTGAACAGTTATTACTGTGCACACTGGCAGTACATTTACCAAGACACAGTCCCTGCTTCATAAAGCACTGGTGACAGATGAACTCAAAAGCAGAGCAGAGGTCTTGACGGGATCACTGCTGATGAGGGTGTTTTGAGGAGGGTGGAAGAGTACATGCATTAAACACAAGTTCACTTCAGCTGTTACTTTTTTTTAAGAAGGCTGGGGAGGAGAACAGTGGAGCAGACACCAAGCAAGTAAAATACTGCAGCTCAGTCCCTCTAACCTGGCCTCTGTAAAAGAAGACAGCACTTGGAAGAGTTAGCATCAACAGTACAGTCAGACCTAGTTAAGCAGAACCAGTTTGCACACTGCATGTGTATCTCCACTAAATTCACATGCATGCTGCTCCACGCAGGCCAAGAAACTGGTCTCTCCTTCAGATCTCTCAGATTGAGAGGCACGAGAGAAGCCAATCCCATGACACTCAGATGTCGCTGTGTGGCACAAGACAGATACATGTGGGGAGATAAACCTGGTGATTCCTACTCTGGTTTGATTTCTCCACGTCCCCCGGAGTCGAAACCACCAGCCAGACTTTCAGATGGGTTCGTGCTACAGCAGGCCCTTAGGGAAAGAGTTCTGCAGCCCCCCAGAGGCCCAGCCTCACCTGGAATTTGTACTCCAGGTCATGCGGTTCCTCCAACAGGACGTTGGGGCAGCGATGCAGAATCTCTGTCACCTGATCCGCTGTGAAAATACACTTCTCCTTGAACACCTGCACCACTGCATCTATTTTCTTCCAGGACAAGGTGAAGATACTGGGGCAGTGGCTCACCACTCGCTGCAGGTTCTCTGTGTCAGACGAAAGGGCAGGTAGAGAGACATGCTCAGCATGCAGGAGAGGACGATTTACTGGGGACAGGGATTTAAGCAGTAGATATGCACAGTCGGATTTGAAGCGGAGGTGGATTGGTCTGCCTCTCCCTTCTCACAAGCAGCATATGGGCTCAAGAGTCTCACGCAAGACAAACAGCCAGAGCTACCTGCCTCTACCAGCAGGGTGCTCTGTGGAGTAAAGATGCAAAGCTGTAAACAGATCCCAGACTTTCTCTCAGTCATCAGCTAAGACCCAGACAGCTCCCCTGCTCTTCATACACACTGGCAAAGACCCCCTAGAGCCACAGGGTGGCTAAGCTGCAGGTGAACAGGCAGTTTGCTACTATGTCTAATTAGTGGCAGAAGCACAAGGGGGAAATTTTCAGCTATAGAAAATTAGTGCCCATCAAATGAAACACATTCCTGTCAGGGCGGAGGGAGAGGGGGAAGAGCACTGCAACACACAAGTAACAGAGATTGATCTATCAGCAGCAATTCAGTTGGGACAGAGATGCTTGGGATGGCAGAAATGGTCTGATAACAGAAGCTTTTCTCCTTGGTACAGATCAGCATTTGCAGAGGGCTGGAGAGAGGCTGCATACGTTTCTGGGAGGTGGGGGGGGGGCGAACAGGCTGGAGCTGAGGGAAGAGATTTAAAACATTCTAGCTAAAATGTTTCACAGAGCTGGGATAGTGTTAATTAATCTGCTGACTCTCCTTCCTGTGATCCTGACTCTGCAATTTCTGGCAGCTGGAACAACTGCTGAAGCACTCAAGGTGCAAATACCTTCAGACTGGGTGATTTTATGAACGCCACCAAAGGCAGAGCTAGAAGCTGCCTTAGTTCTTGTGCATCATTTTGGTAGGTAACATCCCCCAGGTCAAATCTCCTCTCTCTTACACCAGAGCTTTTTCCTATCATGCTGCAAGAGATCTGAGGGTGTGCTGCCAGGACACCAGAGTTAAACAGCTCTCACTCCAGAAGAACGTAACTGCAGAGAGGGGATCGTCTGAGGGCATGAGGTACTTTTGGCAACACTTCAGCACTGTATCTTGTATAAGGCAGTAAGCACGCAACATCATGTTACCTTCTCCGAGGTCCAGTCTCCGCAGGTAGTCTGCACGATGCCTCAGCTGCTGGGCCGTCATCCTTAGCACCTCAGGGCTCTTCTGCAAGACCCTCAGCGTGGAATCAGCATCCAAGCCCAACAGGAGGAGCTCGGAAACCACCGCCAGCCGTGTCTGAGGAGCCAGCTTGGGCTGCAACCCGAACAGCTGTATTATCTGGGCGTTACTGAATCCCATGTCAGAGAATGAATCCAACATCTTTCCCAGCTCCGAGTTCCCTGTATCAGCTTGGCTCTGCTGTGCCGCCAGGGACAGACGGACAGCTTCCAGTAGCTTTCCACTGGGTGCTGGCTCATTGCTATCCTGCTCCCAACCAGCAGAGGACAAGCTCCCACCACTCCATTCTGATGAGGCCACGGAGGCCAGTCTACGCCCACTGCTTAACAAAGGGCAGAAAGAGGCAGGCAATCCAGCAGATGGAGAGGCACACAACCATGACTGTCTTGTAACAGGGGGATGGGTGCTGGGAACCAGCCTGCATCCCCACAGGACCTGCAGAAACACACCACAAAACAAGCTGATTGCAAAGTCAGTACGAAAGGATCAGAGAGGTCAGAAACAGGAGAGATCTTGTAGATCACGGAGTCCATCCTCCTACAGTGTGGAAGATGTAACCCAATAATTGACATTAAACCAACACTCCACCTAGGACTAAGCACACTGCACTTGTTGGCTCTCTTGCTTGTCTTAAAGGGTGACTGTAACAGCACAGATTTTAATTAGTCATCACTGGCTGCATTCCGCTAGTGCAGGGGTCGGCAACCTTTCAGAAGTGGTGTGCCAAGTCTTCATTTATTCACTTTAATTTAAGGTTTCGCGTGCCGGTAATACATGTTAACGTTTTTTAGAAGGTGTCTCTAAGTCTATATTATATAACTAAACTATTGTATGTAAAGTAAACAAGGTTTTCAAAATGTTTAAGAAGCTTCATTTAAAATTAAATTAAAATGCTGATCTTACGCCGCCAGCCTGCTCAGCCCGCTTCCAGCCTGGGGTTCTGTTCACCTAGGCCTGCAGCGGGCTGAGCGGGGCCTGTGGCCAGGACGCTGGCTGGCAAGGAGCCGGCAGCCGGGACCCCAGACCTGGGGGGGGGGGGTTCAGGGGTCAGGGCAGAAGGCTGGGTGTTGGGGGCGACTCAAGGTCAGGGCAGAGGGCTGGGGGTGCAGGGCAGAAGGCTGGGAGTGTGGGGGGGTTCAGGGGTCAGGGCAGAGGGCTGGGTGTTGGGGGCGACTCAAGGTCAGGGCAGAGGGCTGGGGGTGCAGGGCAGA